TGCATATATATAAATATTTATAAATATATATATATAAATATATATACATATATAAACGCGTACATAAAGACATACAAAACACATATAATGGCATACATACACCAATACATATATGCATAACATACATATATACATACATACATACATGTGGGGCATATATATATATATATATATTATACATACATACATCTAAAATACATACATATATACAAATATACATATCTATATATATATATTTATATATATATATATATTTATGTATATATATATATATATATATATATATATATATATATAATATAAATATATATATATATTATTTATATATATATACAATATATATATATATATAGAATATAATATATTTATATATATAATTGTATATATATATATATATATATAATTTATGTCTATGTGTATGTATATGGTAAATGTAAATGTATATGTATATGTATATGTATATGTAAATGTATATGTATATGTATATGTATATGTATATGTATATATATATTTATATGTATATGTATGTATATATGTATATATATAAATATATATATATATTTATATATATAAAATATATTTTGAATGTTTATGTGTAAAATTCTAACATGTAGCCGATACAAAGTCATGGATGTTGACCTCGCAATCTCGCAGGAGGACTCGAACTGTAACCACACTAATATCTTCCAATGGAGTTTGTATAATCATTGACTTTGAAGTAAAATCGCACATCGGGAGTGTTGTTTCTATGTATATATTCTATTCTGACAAAAAAAATTTGTGTACTTCACTTTTCTTCTGAACAAAAGTGTTAATTTACAACTACTCTCGCTGTTCAGAAGCAATGAAATGAGAACGAAAATAAAATTACCACAAATAAGTTATCATATACAATTTTGATTACAACGAAAGAAAATCAAGTGGTTTATCTGTACGTGTGTCGTGGATATGAATTGACTTTAATTGCAATGTTATGGATCACTCTGTACCGCGAGCTCTAGAGAGAAAGCATTTAGTGTTAGAATCTACAATCACTGCAGTAGAGTACGGATATATAACATTAAAATCAGCAAGTACATGTACATCGATGGTCATCCGCCGTTGCCATGCGATAATATCACCATGTGATGGTTGGGGAGGAGAGACAATCAAGATCATACTTTCACAAAATGTATGTACGTCTTGAAGTCTTGTACTGATGATCAACGTGAATTACATGTATTATCCTGGGGGGGATGAATACAAAAAGGAGCCTTGAGGGCCTGCAAGGTCAGAACTCAGAAGTCGATCTGTTTATATAAATGATGATCATTTTATGTTTTTTTTAACACAAATCCCCGTGTGTATACTTACGAGGATTTAGAATTTCAGGTCTCGGAGTCAGGAATACCGGTTATTCACTACATTTATTCAGAATATTCGGAGTTGCCACGATACATATTTATACAGTTATACTCTATCAAATACAATTTTTAAAATAGAAATCACTGACATCATTGTCATTATGATTCTGGAATCTGGATTCATGACATCATAAACCTCTCAACTCCTAGGAAGCCAGGGCCCAGAAGTCCCAGGACACTGAGGACAGGGACTCTCTCGCTGTCACGTCGAGACTCTCGAGTTGCCGACTCTGGTGAGTGGTGAGCCGTGAGTGGTGAGCCGTGAGCCGTGAGTGATGAGTGGTGAGTGGTGAGTGGTGAGCCGTGAGTGGTGAGTGGTGAGTGGTGAGACAACAAGCGGGCTGCTGCCCACAGTGCCCAATGCCTACTTGTGGTGTGACTGCGAGTTATCACTGATCAGTGATCAATGTCGATGTACATATGTAAATACTAGATAGTGTAGGCCTGTGGCTGTAGGCTGTAGTGCTGTAGGCAAAAATGAAAAATCATATTTTATATGTGCAGCCATCACTTTCAAGTCACCAACTTCTTCACCGATTTGCTAAAACATGACAAAATCAATCAATCATACTTTTTTTGCTGACTGTCTTGCTCTCCTCCCCCTGGTGGTCTCCACAATGTTTCATGTGTTGTGTTACATCTTCTCTCTCCCTTGGAGAGTCAATAATACATATTTATGTCTTGTTGAATATTGAATACGGTAGTAGAGGACAGCAAAAAGCGTATTCTTTGCCTATTTTTGTCTCCTTGGCGTTCATTACGACAACTCAAACCAGTTTTAAGACATCTGCCAAGGCCAAGGTCAGCCAGGCTGTCGCTTATAATAAATGTAATTGTTTAAAAAAAAAAAAACAAATATCAGTACACAGAGTAATGGAGTATGTATTTATATATATTTTATTTTATTTGTTTTTAAAACAAAACAACGAGTCACGACTAACGAGTCATGACTCGTGAGTCCTATTTACTGGAGGGCTAATACAATTTGAAATGCGAAAAACGAAAAAGTAATAATTTAAAACATTAAAAACACAATTGTCGATTCTTCATATTTGGCATTTTGCACTGACAGTCAATACAATAACTGTTCTGTATGTATTTCACTCTTCGAGTTGGAGTTCTAGATGAGACTTCAGTACTCATCTCATATACAATTTATCCAGTTATCTACTTCAAATGTTACTCCTAATAAATCGAAGCTATTCTATTAAAGAACACTCATAGTTTGAAGTTTCGATATACTCGAAAGCTTCCTGTAAAGTGAAAAACTAAATATTCAATACAAAGTATGAAAACAAGTATTGCGGAGTAGAAATCCTGGAATAAATAAATAAATAGACGTAGTTTGTTTTTATTTGTTTTGTTTTATAAAAACAATATATATACAACACATTCCAGATTAAAATTTCCAGTTGCATTATGATAGAAACTTGAAAATTAGAAAACAAAATTAAAAAAGGACACCAGGCGGCCGAACCCACTCGCCCGCTCGCCGCCTTCCCGTCAAGTCTTTTGTAAATAAATATTTAAAATACGTCTTTTTTTTTAGGTTGAGAATCGAGACTCACAGACTCAGGGCTCTGTCAGTCATCACAAGGTACAGAGAGAGAGTGACCATTTTAGCCCAGGCAACTAGCCCTGACGGCTAACGCCCCCACAGGGCCCAAACTCCCAGTCTCCCACATTCTCACATTACTGATTTTTTAACAATAATATCAGTGCCCACTGCCCAGTGCTCCAGTAACCGTTGTCCATTGCCCACACCGGCCCCCAGGCGTAGGCCTTAGGGCCTTAGGTTTTAGGGCTAGTAGTCTGACTGGTCTCTGACTCTCGAGTCTCGAGTCTCACAAACTTGAAAGTTGAAACTACCCAATTGACAATTGTGAATTGTAAATACAAATACCCCCCCTTGGCTCTTGCTCTGTAGCTCTTCTCAAGATCACTACTGCTCTCTTGTTTGTGTGTGTAATAATAATTATGATAGCTGAAAGCATAGCAACGAATCAATAAGTCTTAGAAAATAGGAATTGGGATTTGCGTCACTTTTAAAAACTGGTAAAAGACGAACAGGGACCATTGCGATATGATCCTTGTCCTCAGGAAATTTTGGCGTTTACCAGCCCTCAGGACTCAAATTTTAGTTTTGGGAACTAGTTGAGAGTCTTGGAGACTCGGGAAACTCAAATCTTTCTCGCTAAAAATTTGTATTGATATCTGATATGAAAATTAAAATAGTTTTATTTTTCGTATCAACAGTATATACTGGTATTTATTTTGGTTAAAAAAAAACAAATAAAACTACAACCGTATGTAAAATTAAATATAACTGCATAAATAATTAAAATAATATGATAATTTCGGTGCTGAAATTTCTGAAAACAAAATATAGTGTTCGACAGTTCGAGACTTCTATTTATTTTAGTTTCGAGTTTGAAGTTTGCCAGTTTGGACTTTGGACGCCAATCAAGTGCAATAAACTTAAAAAGCTTCATAAATACATACATACATACATGTAATTTAAAAATAGATAAAATTACATTCATTATTGTCATAATTATTATCTATTTTTATATAATAAATACATACTGTACTTTATTATTTCATAGTGTTTCGTACTTGATACATATTTACTCGTGTTTTTACTTTTTTTAGCAATGTATAAAACTATAAATACATATAGTGTTCGTTCCTACTTCAGCTGCAGGCTGCAGGGCTGCAGGCTACCGCAGCGAGTATCCTACTATACAATACATTTTCAAAAATACCGAAAGAATAAGAGTACAGCTGCAGCAGCGAGTTACATACGAGTTTGACCGTCAGGCGTCAGGCGTCAAGTCGTCAACAGCAGTCGTGACTCGTGAGTTGAGTTGTCGACCAATTCCGCGAATGGCAAACCTAATGTTTTTACTGTTTTATTTTTGCTCCTTCAGAGGCTCAGACTCACCATAGTGGACCACGATGAAGACTCAGAGTCCAGAGTTCCAGACTCCAGTCGCTCAGAATCAGAGTCATGATCACTCATGAGCATACTTTTTTTTACGTTAAACGTAATACGTTGAACCGTTTACTATATTTTAATATCAGAGTCGGTGTATACATATATATTTACGTTTTTAATATACGTAATAAATACATTCAACCTCAACGTTCAACTTTTATTTTTCGAGGTAAAATATCTTTTTATTTTTCGAAAGTTCATTCATTGACGAATTTTTAGCTCCCAGAGTCCTGACTTTTGTGGACGAAGCAAGCAGGTATTAGTTGTGTCGACGATATTTCAATATAGACAAGCATTTCCACAACTATTTAAAGCGAAAGCATCATGCCTCGAATGTTTAGTTTGTAACTACAGTATACCAAACGGTTACTGACAAGCCTTGGCGACATCGTGCTCTGCACACTTGTTTATCCAGAATCACACTGTCAATTTCGAAGAAAGTATAGAATTTCATATTTGTAATAATGGTTGGGGGTGCCGGATCTATCTTCGACGGCGTATCTCCGCTTAGCAATTCGACTGCTCTGCTGTTATTCCAGATGATATTCATCATCTTAACTTGGTATGATTAAATCAAAATACAATGTTGGAAAATTCGCTCTGCAATCACCCTTTAGCGTTCATATACTATGTATTTCGTATTTTTCAACCGCGTATCATAAATGTATACAACATAATATTCAACTTTAACTTACTATCACGATCAATCCTCAAATACAGCTCTATTCTAGGAAAGCTCTTGGGTCTTGTACGTCAACCCAGGGTAGTTGCTGAAGTCCTGGGCGGCATTTTGCTTGGGCCAACCGCACTTGGGCAGATCCCGGGATACATGGAGACAATCTTCCCTACGGAATCGCTTGGCCATCTCAAGTAGGTGACCTTCTATATTTTACAGCTGCCCATCGCCCACGCGTCGTGTTCACACTGTGGTTATTCCTCTCGGTTTGCTCTATTTGATCACTCTTATCCGCTGATTAATACTTGCAATACTTCTTGAAAACAGGACGCTCGCTGAGATGGGGCTTATTTTCTTCCTCTTCATTGTTGGATTGGAAATGGACTTCCAGTTGATGACGAAGAATGTCAGGCAATCGACCACTATCGCGTTGGTCAGCACTGCCGTGCCTTTCGCAACGGGTTGGCTAGTTGCCTGGGTCTTAACCCTAATACTTCCCGATGAAATACCGTCGAGCTATGGTACATTTGGGCTGTTTGTTGCTGTGTGCTTTTGCATCACAGCTTTCCCCGTGCTGGCGCGCATCCTGTCAGCCTTTCACCTGACGGGTGCAAGTATTGGCGTAACCGCCCTGTCAGCCGCCGCTATATCGGATGTGATTGCTTGGGTATGTGAATCTTGTTGACTGTAATACTGATTTGCTTGCATCTGTTCTGCATTGGATGTCCTTGCCAACCAAACTTACAAAACTCATTCTCGAAAAACAAGTATGATTGCTAAAAATACTTGACGGGCCAGATGTTGCACTTGAACGCTTGCCCTTGGGGTTATCATTATACTTATACTATTCATATATTTGTTCTCAAATAATCGCAAATCCCAAACAGGGTTTGCTTGCTTTGGTAGTGGCACTTGCGGGAGCTGGTTCCCCGATCACAGCGCTTTACGTAGTGATATGCAACGGAGTCTTCGCCGTGTTTATGTTCCTTGCTGTGAGACCGGCACTCACGAAGCTCTTTATACATCGTGGTTATGATGAAATCTCCCAAGAGGTCGATGAAAAACCAAAGCCGCTATCGTACATGGTGACGTCCATTATATTTGTGATTGTTTTGGCAGCGAGTTGGGCAACACAGGTCCTTGGAGTTGATGCCATATTTGGTGCGTTCATCACAGGTCTCATAATACCACGCATGCAGACGGTACCTGTACAACTGATGGAAGTTACAGAGCCTCTGGTCAGTATTGTGCTGCTTCCTCTCTACTTCGCCTTCTCGGGATTGAAGACAGACCTAACTCTCCTGAACACCGGCATGATCTGGGGTATGACGGTATTAGTGGTCATAGCCGTGACCATATGTAAAGTCCTGCCCGTGATGGCTCTCTACCGCTGGTTTGGAGGATCTTGGGGTGACTCGATTGCGCTCGGGTTCCTCATGAATACCAAAGGCCTGGTGGAGCTGATTGTTCTTAACATCGGATTGCAGGCCAATATCATCAGTCCGACAATATTCGGGATATTGGTGCTTATGTCGCTGGTAACAACCTTCATTACTTCACCAATTGTATCGGCACTGTGTCACCCCAACCGCCAGCCCAGTACCGCTGGCTCGCCAGACGAGGATGACATTAGTGCTACAACAAACCATGCCACGAATGTTTCCAAACTGCATGCTTCCCTTATCAAGGCTGAGCTAAGCATAGCTGTGCACGTGGAAAACAAGCATGATACCAAACGGTTCTCTCGTCTGCTCGGCATGTTGATGGTATTGGTAAAAGACATCCTGCACAAAACTACAGTAAGCGAGACTATCATAGATCCCGTGAACGTTGGCAGATTCCAGGTACGAAAGAGTGTCGGAGCGGCCAACGCCCCGAAGCTTGTATCTGACCTCCCAAATCAGTCTAATGCCCAGGAGAATCAAGTGGACAGTGACACACAGAACAAAACCACAGGCGATACTCCGATTACGCATACATCTCAGCGCGGGCCACAAATCACCACACTTAAGTTGTGTGCGATACACGTGGTCTCCACCGATGACACATACGCCGGGATCACGTATGCGACGTCGTACTTCCCCAACACACGAGCTGTAACCGACTTCCAGGAGCTGTGCAACCAGTTCAGTGTTTCGTCCTATCCATTCGTGGCCTTAAACCACGATACCGAGCGAAACGGCTGTGACCAGATAGTTGCCGAGGTTGCAACCCTGCAGCAAGGGGTAGACACACTACTACTGACCTGGGATAGGAACGCCGCCATTCACGACGCCGATGGCTTCACCAAGTGTGTACAATTGAAGCGCAAGGTCGATGTGCTCTCACCTGTCATGCGCACATGTGTGTATATCGACTCGGCTCCCCGTTCGGCAAGCTCGCACCTATCGCGAGACAACTACGGCCGGGGTCGGGAGGCGACAGATACAGCGGCGGAGTTACAGATGTTTGTGCCGTTCTTGGGTGGAGCAGATGCCATCGAGGCCTGCGTCCTGGCCATACAGATCAGCAATGCCGCCCAGGGCGTCTATGCGCAGGTGCATATCGTGGACTACACACAGTGGCTGAAGCCGCCCACAAAGAAGGAGAACGGCAAGGGACTGTCTGAGAGTGTGCGTGCCATGGCAGACAGCTCCTCCGTCGCATCGATCATTGAGATTGACGGAGCGAACATGAACGACGTCTACGAACAGTCGCTGCGCGCCGACACCTTCCTGGAGTTCATGTCCACCTACACACAGACGACCTCGACGGTGAAGCTCAGCAGTCCCACGCAGGCCGAGGAGTTACTGATTCACGACCGCACAAAGCGTGTAGGGCCTGGCTACACCGGAGCCGATCGTTTGGCGACCTGCTCCCAGCACTTTGGCAGTTTGATTGCAGCGCAAAATGCCACAGATACGAGAGCGGGAACGGAAAGCGTATTGGTTGTGTGCGGCGCTCGCCTGCCCCCTGTCGCGACGGCAGATATGAAGGTGGTTGTGCCAGAGGAGGCTTGTGTGGAGGGCCAGCTTGCGGCCCAGCTGTATGAAACCGGTATGTACCGCTGTACAAGAGTGTCTACACGTGTGGTGTTTGGGGGTGTGTGTGATATAGTACTTGGGCAAGACTACGGTTGCATTGTCAAGTATGGTCATGAATATCTGGGTGTACTTTCAAACCATTGGAGATTCTGTCGATCTTTTTGTACCTCTGAATGAGACCGGTGTGTGCCTGTATGGATATTTCGCAGTCTTATCCAATGATTCTATGGTACCAATTTTACTACTGCCGCAATTCACAGGAATCTACAATGCGTGTGAACCCCTATATATTAACTCATCCCCCCATTCGTCCATTTATCTATGTTTACTATACAGGCTATAATTTACCCCTCCTGAGCGTACGGGCGTGTGACACCAGAGGAGAGACGAGGCTACGGAACTCTGAGGACATCTGTTGATCTCTTAGAACGGTTGAATGTGCCTGGCTGCAAACATAACCGGCATCAATACCACCACAAGGCTTTTTGCTTTTGGCCAATTACAGGATGCCAAATAACTACTGATTCAGACTCCGGTTCACACTAAGCGATGTTGGAGACGAGGCTATTCGTGCCCATCACCATGGCAACCATACCATACATAGAGGAGTGCTCAGGCTAAATATGAACACCCGTGAAAGGGGCTGCATAAGTGCACACCTTGTGTTCATACTATACTCCACTGGATCTATTAACTACTAACTTACTGGACCTACCGACTACTACTATTAACTACTAACGCGTGGCGGACAAGAGCCGACGCTGTGAAGGTCGAAGACCAAACTACCAGCTACCATCACCACAGAAACAACACAAAAGCTACACGCTGTCTATGTCACGGCGCTTGCTTCGCCGATTGACCACACTACTATCTCGGGTTCAAACAAGTGGCTAAATCTGCAGTTATTTAAGAGCAGGTAGAAGCAACATTTGCCCACTTCTTGGCTAAGGTTGTGAATTGTTATATTGGGTATTTATATCTTGGAACATAACTACAAGGTCGTATAGCACTGCTGTATGAGTGATGACACCAGCAAGAGCTCGCCTTGGTATCGCCAACTCGGCTCGACTCGGAAGTCGGAGAACTAGACTCGTGTTGCCAACGAAGACGTTAAAAACGCAGACGTTAAGAATGAAGTATAAACAGCGAGAACTATGCACAAACGAAAACATAAATAAAATGGTTAAGACTGTCATTGCACCATCCGATTTCCAGTACACACATGACAGTTAGAGGCATGTATGATTTTAAATGATTGTAGCTTCTAAACTTGCTACTTCCGTACGGGCCCCAGGGGTAGTACCGAACTGTATAACCAGACTTGAGATACAGGGGCGGGTGGGTATCCGGGACCGATATACTAATTTATCAACCGGCCAATTTCTAAGAGTCAGTTGGCGTTGTCAAAATACCATTTGCAGTTGGAATGTAATTACTGTGAGTGGTATTCGGCTATCCGCGCATGAAGCTGGTTATCGTCGATTTCAACCCTCCGATCAGACTCTGTTCCTGGAAGTCATCGAAGTTCTGTGGACACAACAGGGTGCAGATATGAAGAGAATATTGAGACAGCAAACGGATACAGCAGCGGTGCATGCTTTGAATACGTTAGTAGTGCAGGAAGAGCGCTAGCAGTACTGTTTTGTAGTGAAAAAAAATGATTGGACTTATAGTGATTGGGAGGTAAACCAAGTGACTTTCAGATAAACAGAGGAAGAAGTTGAAACATCATATAACCTATATTTGTGATGAGAGTACAGTACATATATGTAAGTAGATATATATATATATATATATATATATATATATATATATATATATACTATATATATATATACTATATATATATATATAATATATATATACTACTACTATACTAC